CACCTCAGCTATCTCAAGCGAGTCATCCAGTATCCTATAAAATAGGTTCGGATGTAGCGTATGAATCATCATCGGCGGAATAGTCGTATAGACAAATGTTGCGGTCTAAGGTTAAACAAAGACATCACTCTATGTCCGTGAAGGGCCCTATTCGGGCATGATGTGACGGAGGAGTGGTATACAACGATCACACAAGAACTTCAGGGGACGAAAGATTTGTAATCAAGATCCGTAATTCGGGACGGTGCAAGATCACTTTGAACATCAATGAATAGTGTAGTGGTTAAACTTCATGCATGCACCGGTGATGTCCCAGGTTCGACCCTTGGACGCTGTACTTTGTTTAGTCTCAACTTTGTTTTGAGGTTGAATATTCCCCGACGCTGAGTGATTGTCGACCTCAACTCTTTCGAGGTTGACTGTGTATGCATGCTGAACCTACACATTCGGAATCATAACGACATGAAATTTGAGTATTGAACTAACCACAAACATTTTCCGGGCGCGCGCTACTACCGTTGTCTATTCCTTGAAATCGTTCTGTCGGTTCCGTGCTGAATAATAGATCTTGTTTTCGATGGTTATGCAGTCCCCTATCATGTGCATCACAATAACATTGCACTCTCAACTTTGTCTCATTCACCATAAAGCAGATGTCTCCATTTACGTCCTCCTTATACGTGGTTCGGCAGAACTGGAAAGGGCGTACATATTTGGAAAAAGCGGCATATATTTCTCCTCAGTAGTTTCCATGTCTTCACCAATGCCTCCTGGAGGGAGTCCCAGCCCTCCAGGCAGCTACCCAACCGGCGGCCCCCCTCTCCCTCCTACTGACCCTGCTGCCTCAGGGGCCATAGTAGAGCAAATCAAGCTGTCCATACGGGACGCTGTGGGGCGATGGTCGGCCAATAGTGGTGGGGAAGGGATCCCTATGGGAGTGCTCGAGACGGATCCTACTGTTGGTGCCATGCTAGCTAGAATGGGGATGAGGTGAGGCTGAATCTCCCCTCGGCGTATGTGATGTTTTATCTAATTCGCCTTTTCACTGAACGAGAGTGAATTATGGAAACTCGGTGAGAGTCGAATCCCTCTGTTCCTTGTTAAGTCCAGGTCGTAGGCAGTCAATTTCGTGGCGCGTGACGGTATGAACGCTGCCCACTGACGAGTGGTTTCTTATAGGTTACAGAGATTCATCCAAGTCCACTGCCACAATGACTTCAAAGTATCAATGGACGGCCGAGTAGGACTGGCAACAACGACCGCCCCGGTGCCCTACCAACAGACAATGGTAGTAGTATTGACCTCGTCTCACTGCTATTCTTGTTGGGGAAGCTGGAGGGGTGATCAGCGGACCCCTCATGAATCCATCATAGGATTAAATTCAACGTTCAGCTGCCGGTTCTGGGAAAGCTCATACTTTTTAGTATTTCTTGTTTATTTTCATTCGATAATACTCACTCGATCCCCAAATACGCGTGTTGGAAGTTTCGAGGAAATTGTGGTAAAATATCGACGCCTTTTTTCGAGTCGTGTGTAACTGTAGTGATAGTTCCCGAGCTCAGCTGAGGAAACCGAACATACTTTCCAACACGGTTGCTTATAGCGTTGATGGCGAGTTGATACGGTAGATGTGGGTGAGCGCCATTCAGTGTAAATGCGTAGAAAAACCGAGCTTGGACAGGCACAGTGTTGGAGGAATATATGATCGCTCCCCTCAGCTGAGTTCAGGGGCTTCCTCACTATTGCACATGAATTCGGGCAGGGGTGTAGACTCTACACTCTACCAAGTTTTGGTCTCTCTTCACTGTAGAGAGACCAAAACTTGGTAGGAATTTTCATATGTCAGCAGCACATGTAGTTGACCATGTGCTTTTTCTTCTGTGAAAATATGCACTAGATGGAAATTACCGCTCTAGTTTCGCCATCGCTGTGGCCGCATTGAAAAGGGATACAATATTGACGCTGGATCGTGACGTGGTTGTTCTTGTTGTTGCTATTCAGTCTACGGGTGTCCAGCAACAGCAGCAACAGCAGCAGCAGCAGCCTTCCCCCGCGCCATCTGAGATGGTCCAAGGTGGGCCGTATGCTTCTCGTAGGCCCCCTGGGGCTCTGTACCGGCCGGCCATGCTAGCTGCCCCCTACAGCCCTCCATTGGTTCATCATAGGAAGGGTGGTGGTGTAGGAAAGGGTGGCAAGGGGGCCCTTGGGCCTATGGGCATGTCCCCGTCCTTCCACGCAGCGGCAGCAGCAGCGGCAGCTGCAGCAGCGGCAGGGTTTGGGTCGCCCTTGGGAGGGTTGCCTCAATCGGCGTTAGGAGCAGTGAGGGCAGGCATGTCGCCTTGGGCAGCGGCAGCAGCAGCGGCCCAACATATGCATATGGGGATGTTCGCAGCTCCCCATCAGGGCCCTCCACCGGAGTTGCCGGAGCCCCCGCTGTTTGTGAGGGTAAATCCCTCGGCGGCTGAGAGCCCTGTGAGGGCACTGCAAAGCGCGTTGGCGCATCTGTCGGGAATGCCGAGATCGTCGAGAACGATGGCCGCGTTGTTGACGCTTGTTGCGGAGGAGAATCAGAATGCTGATAGAAGTGGAAATCCGATTTCGAGCGATGTGAAGAGGCTGATTGAATCGCATCCAGCGGTGCGGAAAACGGTGGAGTCGATTTTGCTACCACTTGTGCATTTTCAACTGCAGCAAGCTGGGCATGCAGTGCCACCCGCGCCCGCCACGGCGATCGATTTGGTGAAGGTACTGAGGGCCGTTGATGGCGATGGGGCCGACGATGTTGGTGAGGAGAAGTTACCGCCGTTATCGCGGATAAAACTGCGGGGGAAGGACAAGGCTTTTATTCAGTTCGTGCAGGCGGCTACATTGATTAAGAATGCTACGGTGAGAGGAGGGTGCGTATCTTAGGTTCATCGTGGTAAGATACAAATTAGGTCCGATTGTGTCCATCTGTTATATGATGGGTGTGTTGAAAAAAGTTTTGTTTTTAGGGCGGAGCGATGCTGCAAGATCGAGATGCATATGAGATGATTCGAGCAGTGGTGGAGAGTAGAGATGGTGGTGACACGTGGGATGCCGGGGAAAAGTACCGTCACCATCGACGACGATGATCCTCTCTAGATGTATAATATTGCTGAATAAATTGTGATTGTTTTCTTGGCTCTCGTGTATGAGGGTTGTGTTGAATCAATTCGGCGCGGGTTTCATGACGTTATGGACATGACCGCTGCGCCACGAAATTACGCAAGGCGTGAATACATCGGATCGTTTCTCTTTTTCGTCTGCCATGCCCACAGACACCCCGACTGTCGTTGATGAGAGAAACGACGAGCTTGCTGTTGCCTTGGTACTGTATGGAATGTTGTCGTACGTGTTGGTGTTATTCTGGGCTGTGAATACGACAAGACTATGCTTGAGGACCTACCAGATGATTGGGCATTCCCTCAGCATGTTCGTGGGAGTGCTAATGTTTCAAACGTTTGATACTATCATCAACGACCTCCTGCAAGGAGGGGATCAAAGTGAGAGGAGCTGATAGTTTAGTGCTCTCACGAGTAGTCGTGGTTTATTCCGAGTTCGTTTCAAGGAGGTGTGGTATGAACCAGAATGAATTTCTCAGGATATTGAGGATTGACGAGCCCGGTCTTGCTTTGTTCGTGCGTGCAGTCCTGTGTACGTGCGTGCCCCGCAATTGATGGTGTTTTTCCCTGAGCCATTATATTAAATGACATTGATACGCTCAATCTCAGTTTCACAACCGTAAACTTGTCTACTCGTTGTTAATATGGCGACACCTGAGGAGCTCGCTGAGCTCTCTGAAGCCCGTAGAGAGTTGGCCGCTACGCGCCGTTCCCTCCGGGATACTCGCGAGGCTCTCAACAACATCATCTCCGACGAGAAGGATGATACTCAGCAGCTTATGAGCGACCTCGCGTCCAGGAGGCC